CACACAATCTCCATAACTGGTAAACTCAACAAAACTCAAAACTAGAAATTATTCTTATCATTTTTCTCATCTTTACACTTAACCAAATGGCTTCCACAATTTCATTCACATCTTCTCTACGTTCACCTCTCGCTTTATCTCCATCTTCCTTATCCAAATCCGCTTCACCGTTCTCGGTCTCGTTTCCACGGAAGATTCCCAGCCAGATCAGAGCTCAAGACCAGAGAGAAAACTCCATTGATGTTGTTCACCAAGGACAAAAAGGGAATCAAGGATCTAGTGTCGAGAAAAGACCTCAACGCTTAGCCATGGACGTTTCCCCTTTCGGTATTTTTAACTAATCCGACTTTATATCTTGATACTCTTTTTTTTTTCTTTTGCTTAAACCATGCTCTGTTTTTGTCGTAACGAAAGGATTGTTGGATCCTCTGTCTCCAATGAGGACAATGCGTCAAATGCTGGACTCCGTGGACAAGATGTTCGAGGATGCTATGACTTTCCAAGGAATGAACAGAGGAGGCAATAATGGAGTTTCAGAGATTCGTGCGCCATGGGACATCAAAGAGGAAGAACATGAGATCAAGATGCGTTTCGACATGCCTGGACTGTCCAAAGAAGATGTTAAAGTCTCTGTCGAAGATAACCTCCTTGTAATTAGAGGAGAGCAGAAGAAGGAAGATGATAATGATTCTTGGTCTGGAAGAAGCTTTAGCTCTTATGGAACGCGGCTTCAGCTACCAGACAACTGTGAGAAAGACAAGATCAAAGCTGAGCTCAAGAACGGAGTCCTCTTTATTTCCATTCCAAAAACCAAAGTCGAACGCAAAGTCATCGATGTCCACATTCAGTAAAGATTCATCACTGTTTTTTTCTTCTTCTCAAGTTGTTTGTTGTAGCTATATATAGCTTATTGTGATAAGGACATATATTATAATCTACATTAGATTTAGGTTAACTCTTGTATAAATACTCTCATAAGTCAATGAATAAAGCAGACTTTTTTACGGCATTACATGGTACGATCAAATCCTAAATT